ATGGAGAGTTTTCAAGTAACTGAGTATTGGGGCTAGCCGGAAAGGTGGAAGAGGGGGAAGGGGGTGGAAAATCCAACCAAACTGTTGCATTTTTTTTAATAAGATGTCCAAAAGTACAAAAAAACAAAGTCAAAACTCCTCTATATTCGATGTTTATGAAAGTATAAACTTGGATATACTTTGTGGATAACTAAGCGCTAATAGCAATTGCCGACTGACTGGATTGTCAATGGTTCCATCAGTCGAGAAGAGTGCGGAAAACGAACCTCTGGAATCATGATTTGGTGCAAATGTAGCAAATTATAACGAAAACTAGGAATTTCGAATTTCTTTTTTAAATTTTCAGGTTTTACGGATTTTTTGGTCTTAAAAAACGTGGTTACGGAAACATCCATTTTCCTCAAAAAATAGTTTGTTCGAAATATTAAATTTCAAAATAAGTTTTTTCTCTTAATTTCAGGTTGTCATGAAACGGCTAGAAATGGCTGACACTGTACGAAATGCGAGTGATTTAGTAGAGCAAGGGCATGTTCGGGTTGGAACAGAACTCGTTACCGATCCTGCATTTTTGGTAACACGCAACCTGCAGGACTGTGTGACATGGACGAAGAGTTCCAAAATTCGTACACATATCCTCAATTACAATAATGAACGTGATGATTTTTTATCGTAAGAATGGTGTTTTAGTTACGCAAACTGTTGTACCTCCAGTTTTTTTTTCGGGTTTTTTTTCGACTTTTCAATTACGAATTTCGAAATTTCCGTACAAATCACAGATCTGAATTTTCAGATTTAACTAGTAATTTTTAGAGCTAACACTTTGAAATAAGCGTTATTGGATTCTAGAAACTACGAGCACTGTTAGCAGAAGACATTTATTTGTGATCTTTTTTTGTTTTTTTGTTTTTTGTTTTTGTGATTTCCTAAATTTGTTAAGCCTCGATGCCCACATGTTGTTTTATTCTTCAAACAATACACTGTTTCGATTGTCTTTTTCAATTTGTAGCCATGAACAGCTGATATCTTCGGCCCAGGATTGTGCAAATTCAGATATTGATTGACTCAGGGACATTGCATAACGAGGTAATAAATCATCCGCCGGGTCGTTGTTGAAATTACCGCACAAACCGCAGACCTGAATTTTAAACTGTA